ATTGCCAGATTGATTTCCAAAGTGGTTGTACAAGCTTGCATTCCCACCAGCAATGGAGGAGGGGTCCCCTTTCTCCACATCCTCTCCAGCATGTGTTGTCACTTCAGTTTTTGATCTTAGACATTCTGATGGGTATAAGGTTATGGTGGGATTGGGAGGGGATGAGGGAGGGGGCTACAGCTGGGATACAAAGTGAATAAATTGTAATAAATAAAAAAATTTAAATAAAGGAAAAAAGAAAAAAAAAACCTAGTTGATTTCATTGAAGTTTACGATAACACACAAACCATAATTATTCACTGTACATTAACTAGGTTTACAAATACTATAACATGGCAAATACATTCCCCTGAGAGACACAGCAACCTGCTTAACCCAGTGAGCCACTAAAGTAAATTCAACCTTCAAGGAATGCTTTTATGAATCAAACCTGGAATCACTTATTCTGATTAGCTTTTCATTTAAGAATGCAACAGTAAAAGAAAGAAACTAACATGTACTTACTGACCAAGCCACATTTGTCAAGGACTACGGTACGCTCAATGCTTAAACTTTATGTGTTCACTTAACAATTTTCTCAATTTTTAGAAAATTAATGATATTAGTTTCATTTTCAAAATTAAAAGGCTAAGGCTCAGAGAGTTCTGATAACTTCTCTGAAGCCAACTGGGATTGTTACATGGATGGTGTTTAAAACCTTTTCCTGATACCCAGAGTGGTCAGGAAATGGCTCAAGGTACTTGTGGGATAGGTTTCATGGGAGGGGAGATGGATTGCACTGGTATAAAGGGTTAAAGGGGAGTAATGGAATAGGAAGGGTTAACCTAGAGTAGGTGAATAGCGAGCAGAGGAGGAAGTGTAGACAGGATAAGTAACATTAAAAACATTTTTAAAAGGACACACAGAAACCCACTGTGTAGCAGCTTCCTGTTATAATTATAATACCCATACATTAAGAGATAAAATGTCTCCGATAGACACCACCAAATAAAAAGTCCACCACCAGAGAAATGGGTTATTTCTCTATTTTTTTTTTTAATTTTTTTGGAGTTGAAAACCAGAAAGGTTCCACAGACCCCAAACATCACATGCTACTTCTCACCCTCTTGGCTACCCGGCATGGCTTGACCATAAGATCCTGTTTCTGAAGATGCAATACATTTGGCTCATAGAACACAGTGAAATCAAACTTGTACTGACTTGGAAGCTTTATCTTTGCTAGTTAGTTTTCATGGCACTGGAAGAGGTAGGCTACCAGTTTTACTCAGCCGTGAGCCCTGTAAGCAACAGTAATGACTGGCCCGGCAAGACACAAGCACTGGTGTGATAATGGCGTGCATACTATGGGAGTAACTAACCACTTGAAAAACCCTGGATTTGACTCACCCTCCACAAGATGAAAACTATACCTGGCACCATTATCCGGGCGAGAGCCTCTGTCTAGATAAATGAGAGGCCCCAAAGGAGAACTCGCTATTGTTATTTTGCTAAATGGGCAGAGTATTAAACCAACACCTAATGACTCATTATTATACCCGTAGATCAATACATCTCTCAGTCCTCCTCTGAGAAGCTTCAGTTTGCAGTAGACAGTGATTAACTCAGAAGCCCACAACTGGCCAAGGTGCAGAAATTAAGAGACTAAAGAATGCTCAGCCCTAAAGCGAGCATTTATACTGTATCCCTTTCTTCCAAGGCACAGGAGTCCCTGGGAAGAGAAGACAGAAAGATTGTGTAAGAGCCCGAGGGAGTGGATGACTACACGAGAACATGTCTTCCGAACACAGAAAGGCACCTGCACCTATGAATTCACAGCTGTTTTAAATAGGGTGCTAGTCATCGCCAAAAGTAATTTAACAAACAAACAAACAAACAAACACCCTGAAAAACACACACGGTGCCGCAACCCTCTAAGAATCCCCAATTCCTCCACAGTCCCAATCCATTGCTTCCTGGTACAGATATCCATCATGGGGCCAAGTTAAGATTTCCAACTTCCTCACTGAAGTGAGTCATTTGAATGTTATTTCCTGTGGTGAGCCCAGAGGAGTTGATTCTCTAGCAAGAACCATCGGATGATTTGTGTGACATTATCTAAAATGTGTTTTCTTCACTTTCTCAAGTTCTCCTGACCATAATTTCAAAAACAAACAAACAAACAAACAAAAAAACAACAAAAAACCAGCAACAAAATGAGTCTGCATGAAAACATGCTAGTATCTGTTCTCTAGATTCCTAGAGGTCGGGTCCTCCTTCCCACAGGGATGTTGGTGGGCTGCGTCCAGCGTAGGGATATCCAAATGACAACAGAACACTGGCTCCTGTAGAAGAAAAGTGCTTTTCTGGTCAAAGTGAGCTCAGTACACCAGAAGGCAAAAAGCTACACTCAAATCAGCCCTGCTGAGACAGCTGTGCTCAGAGCTGGAGAGCCAGTGCTATAGGATTCTGAAATCAGGAATGTGATAAGGGCTGCCGCTCCTTCGAAGTTCCAGCAGTGATTCCAAAGAGAAACTGACATGGTACAGTTTTCTGAAGAAAATCAGGTTCTTATGAACCACCTCACTTGAAAATATATGGTTGTGCCCAAGTGAGACAAGTGCTATTAAGGTTAAAACAAACAAACAAACAAACAAACAAAAAATCTACTTCAATTTGTCATCAAATGCTAAAAGAAATGATGATGATTGAATAGAGTAAATTAAAACTGTGTGGTGTGAAAAGACAGTAAGAGAATAAACACATGTGGAAATATTTAAGATTATAACCACTGACTTTATGATAAAATTAGGCATAATCAGAATTTCCAAATTAAAAAGAACACAGAATTAAGATATGAAAAAAAGGAATTTCAGCCCAAATGGCTGACTTGCAAATGTTCAGAAAAGTGAAATGACAATTATCTACTTGAGCAGGTAAAACCTCTGCCAGGTCCCCCTCGCTGAAGAGGTTGTGACTGACAGAGTGCACTCTGTAGCCCACGTTTAAAAAGTTATTTCTCACGTGCCTGAAACCAGCTGCATCCCTACACCCCACTCAAGTCAGAACACAAACTCTGTGAGTTCCAACATTTGCAAATGTGGCCAAAACAATTTTAGGGCAAATGAATGTCTAAGTAAGGAAGGTCCACGGTAGCACTGCAAACAAAACACAACGACGATGAAAACAACATGCCCTAAACACACAGGTGGGTTCCTCACTGTTGAGGTGCCTGGGTGATTTCTAACGTGCCAGGACACTTCCTTGCTTCTCAAAAATAGGGCTTTTCTTGAGAACCATCCAGTACTCTGGTTGAAAGAGACCACAGCCAATTAAGCAAATCATTCAGAGAGGCTTGAGAAGGGGCTGAGGGACATACTTTTTTTTTTTTTCTACTAAAGTACAGCACAGAGCATAAAGCGTGTCCCTGTCGGATGCCGTGAAGGGCATGTCATCAGCCGTCACAAGCGAATGCATGCTTGCTATCTGTTGTGCTAAACAAGGACACACTGAAATCGATATTAGAAGAATCATACAATATAAACACATCTTGGGCCAGAGAGCTGTCTCAACAGGCAAAGGCGCTTGTCAAAATTTCTGGTGACCACCATTCGATTCCCTGAACCCACACAGGGATGGAAGAAGAAGCAAACTCCACAAAGTTGTCCTTTGACACATATGGCGTGGCAGATGCACCCGCACACGCCCCACACATGTGTATGATAAAAGTGCTTAAGACTTTTCTCCTTCGCACGGTTTTATGTAAACTCCTTCTCCTGTTTACGTAGATATTACTAGTGATTTTTCCCCCACTCCTCTTGTGCTCTGTGGCTACTACAGAAAACAGTGATCACCAAAGCTAGACTTTAAGGGAATTAAGCAAATTTAACTAAAATAATATCATTTTTATCATTTTTCTTCTTTTTGTGATCAAATCTCCTATGGCTACTCACACATCTGTTTTTTTGGGTTTTTTTTTTGTTGTTGTTGTTGTTGTTTTTATATGTGTGAGAGTTTTCCCATATGCAAACATGAAAAGTTTCTGTACATACTTGGATTTTCTGTCTAAAATCACATTTAAAGATGATGTTTATATATTTAAGATATAAATCAGAATGCTGCATAATTATGAAACTACATAAAAATTCATTGATGCTGTTCATCTATTGTTTTTCTCCCACATTTGTATTTTTTCCAGGTCTATTTCTTTTAATCTCTTTCCAAATCTGCCTCCTAATTCAGCAACGTTACCTCAGAGTCTCGTGTGAAAGTACATTGAGTTGTGTTTATTGTGATGTGCAAAAGGCTTACTGCACCACGGAGGCAGGTGGCAGGGCTGGCCAGTGAATTTCTCCACAGTGGGTGCCCATTCGTTTCAAGTAAGATCGTGTGGGTCAAACAAAATAGGTCTGGGGGTGTCATTCAGTCTCAGAATGCTAGCAATGTGGGGGGCACTGGGTTTAATCCCCAGCACCAGGGAGTAAAACTGACTTAAAGAGAAGAGGAAACATAGCTATAGCCTCTGCAGTAAAGCCAGGCTGCCGTCAAGCCCTGGCTGCTCTTGGAGGGTACGGCTCTTCCAAAACAAACATCCTCCCCTAAACATCTTTAAAGAGATGGTACTTGATCACTGTCACATACTCATCTAAAAACAAAACCCTGTCGCTTGCCAAGAATATGCCCGTAAAAAATTTAAATTGCTCACAAAATCACTAGGTCTGTTTTCCTAAAAGGAAGTCAATGCTGAGTATGCCTTGGGATGCTTATGTAACCTTTACTTACATTGCTCTTTTTGACTCTATAGTAGCGTGGAAGCTTGTTAGACATGTAGAAGAAAGTCCCCCAAGTTATATATTCTAATGTCATTTTCACTGGCTCTCACAAAACTGCAGTATGCAATCAGTTACCCACTGTAGTCCAAAGACCATTATAGTTTAAAAAAAAAAAAAGCTGCTGATTGTTAAAACATCTGCACTCAGAACTATGCCTAAGAAAAACATTAAGTAAAGACTACTTCCACTGACCTTTGCTTGGGCTTCTGGTACTGTCACCTTGACAACTTTATTGCGATTTATCATTTGCTTCGCCCATCTTTCTACTTGGACGTTGAACTTCATGAAAACCACATAGGCAAAATAAGCTGTTAAGAGGAGTAAGCTCTCCCACCACATGATAACGTTATCCAGGAAAAATATGATCAACATGATCAAGTCAACAATGTAGAAGGACACATCCCGAAAGAGCGGCCACCATGTCAGGTTTAAGATTTCTCTAGAAAACAGAGCACACATGCCAATAACAAAGAGGATATTGAACACTGCGGAACCTACGATGGTGCCTATGCCGACATTGCTATGAGCAATGAAGACCCCTATGAGAGACGTGAAGAGTTCTGGGGCTGACCCGCCTGCAGCCATGAAGGTGGCTCCAGCCACGTCATCAGAGATGCCCAGTTTTTCAGTGATGACAGTCAAAGAAGGGACAAAGAACTCATCACAGACGATGGCTAAGGCTATGAACATGTAGATCATGCCAATGACGTGGAGAATGATGGCACCTTTCCTTCGTTCCTCCAGGGAAAAGATGTCCTTCGGGTAGTCTCCCTGGGCATGCTCAGTGCTGTTCTCAGCTTGGTCTTCCTGAGAAGCAGGTGGCTGTGGGGTGTAATCTCGGATCTTGTCATTTAAGTCTAGGAGAGTTCTGTGGCGGTGACCCGGTGCTGCCCTGGGGCCACCCACTTCACTGGCTTCTCCTCTGTGGCTCTGAGAGTCTGTGTCAGTAAAGGCACTGATTGAAAATGGGACAGTGCTCACAGCCACCAGGCCCATGACAAGGCCAATGACACGAATTAGCTTCAGTTTTTTCCTGGCATTATAATGTCTCCTGCAGCCAGTTGGTGACTCACGGGAACACCATTTCTCCAGGAGCCTGGCTGTGGTGCTTTGGTGCAGATCCATCCCGGCTCTTCTGGTGGATATGGTGGTCTTCACCCTTCAGACTTGGCCAGATAGCTCTGTCATGCTTTTTCCTGCTTCCCAGTTAGTGGTGCTTGTGGGGTACTTCTACAACCTTTCACCACCTAAGCTGAAATAAAAACAGCAAAGTAAATAATTCATGAAATCTTACCTTTCTATAAAAATACCTTTGCAGATATAATAAAATCTAGTCCTGTTTATGGGTAAGTTACTTAAATTCTCTGTGCCTCGGTTTCTTTATTTTGTATTTCTCTTTATTATTATTATTATTACAATTTATTCAATTTGCATCTCGACTGTAGCCCCCTCCCTCATCTCCTCCCAATCACACCCTCCCTCCCTCTTCTCCCTCTATGGCCCTCCCCTAGGCCGCTGATAGGGGAGGTCCTCCTCCCCTTCTATTTAACCCTAGCCTATCAAGTCTCATCAGGACTGGCTGCATTGTCTTCCTCTGGGCCTGGCAAAGCTGCTCCCCTCAGGAGGAGGTGATCAGAGAGCCAGCCACTGAGTTCATGCCAGAGACTACCTCTGTTCCCCTTACTAGGGAACCCAACATTTTCTAAAGATTTCTTTTAAGTATGTATGTCTGCGTGTGAGTATGTGCACATGTGAGTGCAGGTGTCTTTGGGGTCCAGAAGAGGTCTTAGGACCTCCTGGAGCTAGAGGTACAGGCACTTGTGATCCACCCAACATAGGTGTTGGGAAACAAACTCTGGTCCTTTGCAAGAACATTATGTATGCTTAACTTCTAGGCCATCTCTCCAGCCTTGGGTTTCCTTACTTTAAAACTGGGAATAGGGCTAGAGTGAAGTGCTTACATAGCATGCATAGAACTGTGGGTGTGATTTCCAGCTACACACACACACACACACACACACACACACACACACACACGGGGGTGGGGGGAGTAGGGGAGAGAAGAGGGAGAGGGAGAAGAAGAGGGTTATAGACAATTAGAGTCCTTGCCAATCAGAATTGCTTATAGTGTATTTTTTTTTTGGGGGGGGGAGGGCGATGGGTATCACATCCAGAGCCTCAAACGCTCCCTACAGTAACTCTGACACTGAACTACATCCTCACAGATTGCTTTAGGATAAGTTAAAACATAAGTCACACTTGGAAGATGTGGTGTCTAGAATGGACTCCTAATCACAGATGTATGAAACCAAGTAAATATTTCAACGGAGCTGATGTTAGGTTCAGACAGCTGAGATGCGTGTAAGTATGAAAATTTTATAGATGAAAGTCAGTTTATCCATTTGAAGCCATGCAACATCCTCTGGTGCTGAAACGGTCTCATTTCTTTCAGAACCAAGTTCTTGACAAGTGACTATTACCCAATATGTTTTCCTCTAGAACAATTATGTAATTCAATGCATTTTCTGACTGAACTATCATTTGGAAAGGTGTGGGCTGGGGAGGAGATAAGACTGCTTTCCTGCTCTCATCACAATCCCAGGATGCTATTTTATTTTTTATCAGAGTGTCTCATATCAGATCCAGAAAATCTGCTCTTTAAATATTTAAGTTTCAAAACAAAACAAAACAAAACAAAACAAACAAACAAACAAAAAAAAACAGAAACAAGAAAACGTCCTGGCGACACGAACAAGCCGTTTTCTTAAAGCATCGAAACACTGTTTTCAACAGGAGCTTCAGAACAACAGCCAAAACCCTCTAGTCTTATCAGCTCAAGCAAAGCCCAGCGCTATTTCAAGAGACCAAATGTGTATTTCGTAAACAACATGTAAGTTGCAGCACCTCTGCCGATAAAATCCTCCCCCAACACCTATCCTTTATGGCAGATATGCAAAGCAGAGTTTTGATTCGCTACTCTACGGAAGAGGTAGGTAAAGTACCCTACAGGACTGCTCCTACAGTCCAGATTCCCTTTCTAAACAAGCCTTTAAATTTCCTGTTTTGGTTTGGTTTGGTTTTTTTCCTCGGTGCCAATGATTTCACTTTAGGAGCATTCGCCGAGATCACGTCAGGTATAAAACAAGCTAATTAAACACAGTCCACTTAGGCACTGGGCTTAGCTGTAGCAGAACAGGAGAAGCATCCATGCAGGCGGAGCCGCAGCTGCTCCTCAGATAACCCTAGTCCATCAGAAGCCCGGCTGCCTGCAGATGTCTAAGCCCCCGTGATTAAGCGACTCAACAGCGCTCTAGGGATTGTCAGAGTGCAGGGTCAGGGCTAGCCTGGGTTGGACTTCCAGGGTGCAAGATCAGCTCCGGGGCTGAAAATCCACTGCTCTGCTCTCTAGGATGTGGCCCCAGCTGCGCCCCAACTTTCCCTGACGTGATCTTAAACTTTTCTCATGGAGGGTCAATAAGAAAAATAAAACGAAAGGATAGTTACCCCGCCTGCCAGCCAGGAACTGCGATGCCTCTGGGGGAGGGCTTGCTTCGCTTCTCCCGGGATAGCGTGTGTGTGTGTGTGTGTGTGTGTGTGTGTGTGTGTGTGTGTGTGTACACCAAAGTGAGGCTCTTGCTGGTGCCAAGCCCGGGTGGGCCATCCAGGGGCTGGCAACCCGCGCCCCCGAGCGGAGAGAGTTGGCTAACTCACGAGCTGGGCCTGGGGCGCCACCTTCACCACGGGGCCACCTGTGAGCCTGCGGCGGCGCAGCGGCGCGATGCGCGCGACCGGCACGGGGACCCGCGAGCTAAGCGACCACAGAGCTGCAGACCCGGAGACCCGGAGACCCGGAGATCGGCACTTACCGCACCGGTGAGCGAGGCTCTCACGCCGGGTCGCTCGGGCCGCTCCTCCGCGGGCCTCCGCCTCCAGCGGCCAGGGCCCGGGCTCGCGCTGGCCCTTGCCTTCGCCGGTCCGAGCTGAGCTCGCGAGGACACTGAGCCGCGGCGAGCGGTGGCGAGCCGGGCTGGCGGTCGGCCCCTCCCTCTCGGCGGCGCGGGAGTAGCCGCAGCTCCGCGCCCTCCCGCCTTGCGCGCCTCCTGCGCGGGCCACGCCCGCCGTCTCTGCCTGCCAGATTTCTCCGCAGTGAGGACCGGGTCAGGGTGTGCAGGCAGGCAAGGGCACAAAGGAGAAATCGCACAGGTCCGTGCCGCACCGGGTTCCAGAAGCCCGAAAGTGCCGTCAAGTTTGGGGGTCACCTAGAAGTGGCCACCTCCTCTCCAATTATCTGCAGGGATTGGGGGGGGTCTCTCTTTAACGTGGGAAGGTGGGAAAGATGGTCTTTAAAAAGGTACAGGCCTTGGGGTACAGTTCGCGGCTGCAGCAGGAAGTGAAGCCTCTGGTCTGCAGGATGAGACACTGAAGGGTCTTCGGTAGGCAGGGTAACCCTTTATTACCTGTGTGATGACAGTTCCCGCAACACTGGGTTGCTTTGGCGTCCCTGACGGGACTCATGTTTTCCCTCTGGATTTCCGACCCAGCGCTTCTTCCTGCCTTGTTTGCAAAGATTCCCTTAACCAGGAGAAACTGAGTCCAGCTCGCTGGGGATCAAGCCAAGGGTCTGGACCAATGAGTATAAGGCGAAACAAACTAGTTGTTGAGGGAAGTATTTTTTAACTTGGTAGATGAGGAGATCCAGGCCTGGGAAACCTTAGAGGTTTTCTGTCCGTTTGGACCCCTTGGCTCTGCAGCCCATCAGAGGTTTGCTTAGACCTGTGAGGTGGTCTTGCCAAGACCAGGGAAGCCTCAAGAACCTAAAGCCCTTCATATTTCAACAGAGCCAAGACTATTGTCTTACTGGGACATTTAAATTTTCATTTGGAAAGTCATGCGCCGAACTTAAAAAAGAAAACAAACCTTTACTTATTGTTCTGGGAAATTTCAAATGGGCACAGCTGTAAGAAAAGCATACAGAAAGCCTTTATGGGGCCATCATCGCCTTGCAAAATTATTGACTCTTGGCCAGTTGTTTTTTTATACCTGCCCCGTTTCCAAGTGCTCATGAAACAAATCTTATACCTGTACCTTGTTTTATTCACAAACACTTAGGAAAAGGAAGCAGTTAACCCATATTAAGACTGTCTCAAGAAGGACTCCAGAAATGGCCCAGTTGGGCTCACATTGATCATGATGAGTCAACTTGAACATCAGGAGATTGTTACAGTTGCTTCAGGTTATCAACAGACGTTCAAAATGTTTCCATAACAACCCAACAGATTGGTAACTGTTGATGGTAGAAAGGGAAACAATTTATTTCACAAGAACACTTTAGAAGGAAGAGTACAATCATGCATTTATTCTATCTTTCTGTAAAAATGGAACCTGAGGGCACCCCATTTGTCTTCCACTTCCCTTGTTTTTGACCTTATTGACTGAGAAATCCCCATCTTTCCCAGGCAGCATATGCTAAGAACAGGGAAGTGGGAATAACCTATACAGGTTCTGCTTAAAACAAAAGCAAACAATCAAAAAAGCTCGGCATGATGGCCATAGCCTGTAATTCCAGGGCTATGTAGCAGTTTCCTTTGGCATTCAAACCTTTCATCTTGGATGGAAATTTAAAACACAGGATGTGAAAAGGGGGTCGAAACATCAGGATATATAGCATGTTTACATGGAACTGAAACAACTGGGTGTTCTGAGGGAATGTGCAATACTCCATTTTGCAGGGAAACTGTTGAAGGCCTTAAGACAGGAAGTAAACAACTTAAAATTGCTTCAGGAAGTCCCTGAAACTGGCCAGATTCACTAGGCCCCTCCTCCTAAGAGTACATAAGCAATAAAGACACACACTAACAAAATCTCTCAGACAAGCATAGCTTTCTAGAAAGAGGCTTAGACCAGACCAGCTACCTGGAAGAAGAAACTAGCCCAGCAACTTGAACGATGCAGAGATCTGATGAAGTGCCTTGAAGAAGCAAAGATCAAGCTGCCTGAAAGAAGCTTAGAGCAAGTGAGTAATGAACATCCCCCGCCCTATTAAGCTGCCTACAGGCTGTGGAGGATGATCCAGGTATCTAGTCTTAGTGATCTGTAACCCATGGTGGACTTCTGGCGATGTAGTTGTGTTTGAGTCATCTTTATTCCTGCAATTACCTCTTGTCCATATTCCTGTAGGTATCCCCAATAAAGCTCATTGGCTCACCAAGCTGGACTTTGGTGGTATCGGTACTTTGGTCTGTCATTAGTTTCGTATTTGGGGTCAGTTGTTCGCTCATGTCTCCCAGGAATAATGATGTACAACACTTAAAACTCAAGAGGCCAAGGCAAGTGGATCTCTATCTTTGATCAGTTGTGTATTTCTGTGTTAACCATGTATACAAAGAAACCTCTCTGGTGAGGCCTGAAAGCTACATTAATCAGTGAGTAGGGAGATGTAAATTTAGAAGGCCATTTAATACTGTGCTTATTTTAGCAGAATAATAATGGATGCTTATGCCTTGGGACTATGAGCTTTCAACCCCCCCCCCTTTTTTTTTCCCTAGACTTACAGCACCGGGAAGGCATTTCCTCCTGTAGAGAAAGCCTCAAATCCAGTCAGAAAGCAACTGGTTACCTCCATAGCATTTGTGCCACCATTACACTCATGGGCGTTTAGTGCCACACAGATCATCATTGTAGTCCACAGAGTTCATAGCTGGGTAAGTCTGTTGATGATATTGTCTCCCTGGCAGCTTACCAGAGCACTTTCAAGTGCCATGAGAGCTGTCCAGCAGTAAGGAAACTTTCTAGTCAGTACTATTTGATTTCTCCAAGTCCAAGGCACCAAAAGTGCACAGTACCTTCAGCAATGGGGTTTTACCATAAAATTTTGGTAAGCAACCGAGCGCAAGGGCAATAGCCTTTATTGCTTTAGTGGTCACCACAATACTTCTGACAAATAACCAAAGGGAAATATGGAACAACTGTCACTGCACTTTTTATTTGGCAGATTTTTTTTTTAAGTAGCCATCTCTGTCTAGTGCCATTGAAATAATTAGCAATCTTTAAAACCCCTTTTAATTTAATAATTTAAAAACAAAGCAAATCAGGGAAACTCAAACACAACTGTAGTAAATCATTATAAAGTGGAGGTGAAGAGAGCAGAATCCGTTTAACTGCCCCTTTCTTCCCACATACCGCTCATTTCTGTCCACCTTTTATTACAGTGTCTGGCTTCCATGTCACCAAAAGTGTAGGCTGTGAGGCCACATGCAAAGGAGGCAGGGTTCACAGCGTTAGCCGTTCCCAGGCTTCCCTCATGCCGGATGGGAAAAATCCCCTGCTGAGAGTTAGCAGCTTCCAGACCACAGCCTTGACATTGCCCCCTTAAAAGAGCCACTGAAGTCAAGAATCGGCCTGTGCATTTCAGCCTGCACAAATATGAGTATCTGTGAGATGAGTAATCAGCCGCTGCCAAGTGTTACTTAAAGCCAATCAGGAAGGAGCAGCTTGTGCTGTGGTTAACAGGAGACTCAGAGAGCCTAGGGGCCTAACACATCGGCATGGGCTTGCTCTTACACAGCTGATCCTGGTGAATTTTGCTGTGTCACCCTTGTTCTGGGTTGCTAGTTGTCCGAAGTGGGAACACTGCAGTTTAAAGTCATGGGAAACATAACTGGCTTTTAAGGCTTTAGCTTGGAAGGCACCCGTCATGGCTGCTCACTGTTCATTGGCCGAAGCCAACCACTCGAACAATCTACAGTCAAGAGAGCAAAGAAACAGTTACTCTGCATTCTTGGAAGGATGGAAAGATATGGTGCCGAGCACTTGTGCCCCATCGGGCAACAGGCATGAAAATTAAGCACTAACTGCATTTTTCACCGGAAAACAAACAAACAAACAAACAAAACTTTTATTTATCTTTTAGTTCTACTGGATTTTTTTAATCAATTATTGCAGTTATCACTTTACAGATGAAGAAACCAAGGCCCTTTATGATAAAGTAATTGATGAACATCAAACACCTCTCACTTGGGGCCAACTTTGTCTCCAAAGTCAGAGTTCTTAGGAGTATTGCTCACGGGATATGTATTAGTGTATTCTCCTATTGAGATGACATGTTCAGGCAGGTCCATGCCTTTCTGTCTGCACTAGTCGGTCCACAGTCAACATCAGTCTGCATGGTTTAAATATCAAAATGTAATCCTGGCACTCTGCAAAGACGTCCTCCTTAGGTCTGTAACCTGAGCTGCCTTTGCTTTCCATCTTCATCGTGGACTTCTATTTGGTTCGCCTTTCTCTTCCAGTTCAGTGAGAACTGCAACAGTGAAAGCATCAAAGGGGCCGAGGGGCAAGTTTAGGATTTTCTCCCTTTCACAGAGGGCATAGCGGTAGCACTTCTCCCTGATCCCCAAGATGGCTTTCTTCTGCTGCTTAGCTCTTAAGTGAGGAGAAATGATGAATAGCTACTATTTTTACAAACAGGAACAGGAATTTTTTTCTGCTTTTTCAATGCTCAGGAAGCTAAAAGCCAGCCTCTCCTTTCAAGCCCAGCTTAGCCTCTTGGCTTTGTGAAAACACCAACCCGGGGCACTGCGCTGAGGCAAGGACCCAGAGAAAGGCAGGTCTATTGATTTCAGAAGTGACTTGGAGTCTAAAGTCTTGGAGAGCTTCCTGGTTCCAGTGGGGGGATTCCTGAGTGACCTCCAGGGTGGCCCTTTGTCTCTCAGACCCTCATTGGCGGGAACTACAGACAGTTTTGGTAAGGGAGGGTGCAGGAGAAAACCTGGAGCCAAAGAAGCCCACTTACAAATACGTGCCTCAGCTGCTTCCGTATTATGGGCCATTTGTGGTTCCTTGAAATCCAGTTCAGAATCAGAACATAAAACGAAAGTCACAATACTAAGGGGGGTCACGGGCCTTAGCCTTAAACAAGACAAGCCGTCATGAGTGTGCCACTGCCTTTGGCTCCTGGTTGCTGAACTAAAGTGTTTGTG